TTTTTTTTATGTATCTTTTATTTCATGCACTAGTGACTGTTTTGCCCTTATGAAGGCGTAGTGTTTGTTGTAGCCCAATGGGCATGTGAGTCATTTTTATTTTCATGCTTTGAGACCTTTATAAAGGGATCTCCTCTTATTGTATGAGCTTAATGTTTGATTAATAAAAATTCTGAAATTGTCTTTGTCTTCTTGCTTGGGAGCTTGAGAGAAAGAGAGGAGACCTAGGAGAGGCTCCACCCGAATTACCCAACAGCCCACGCCGGTGAGCTCTTGGTTTTCTTTATTTAGTTCGCTGCTTTCTCCTTCCCCACCATACCTCCACACCTCCATACCCGAACCCTTCCCCTGGATCTTAGACCCGCCCCTTTTCCCCCCTCCCTGCAGCCGATCCAGCCTTTCCCCCACAGAATCCCGCCATCTCAACCCCTCCCCCATCCCGCTGCCACCGGTTGTGCCAGGAAATCCTGCCGCCCAGCCCAAGGAAATTTGAATTCCATGTGTTCATTCCCTCATTAATCCTTTCCTAAAATAACACCTTATATTTAGGAAGAGTTTAAATGAGATTCCATCAGTTTTAAAATTCAAATTTTGAATCTCTTTAATTGATTAAAACCTGAAATTTAAATTAGGATTTAATTAATCCCATGGGCCCCACTAATTAATCAAATCCTTTCTCTCCCTCCCTTGCTTGGCCAACCATCCATCTCTCTTCTTCTCTCTCTACTTGCCACATAAGCACCCACTAATTCCCCCCTTAATTATCCCCTAATAACCGCCCCTCTTTAATTCAAAATTATGGAGGTTTCTATTGCAATTAACCTCTCCCTCCAACCCAAGAAAATTTGAAATTCAAATTCAGATTTTCTCTTGGTCTTCTTCTAGCTCACGGCTCAACTCTCCTTCCCTTGTCTTCTTGCTGCCCTTCCTCAATGCTGAATGGCGGATCCGGAGCTTGAATGGGGATTAGTATTCCACGCCGACGGGAGCATTAATATCCTACGATCTCCGTGCTTTGACGTAGGATTTGAAGACGACGTCATAATTGAAGAATACTTGGAGCGAGTCGTCCCGATTCTCGTAAGCATCATCGACCGACAGTTTCGTGACTACACTTGGATGATCATCGGACGCCATCCACTACCACCTCCCCCGGCGACTACCTCTCCGGTAACGAAGTCTTTCGTCTCCTTTTCCGTAGTGGTGCTCTCCATCTTCGTGTGGTTCTTTCTTCTCCGCTAAAGCCCAAGAGTGAACAAGTGAGAGGGTGCTCAAGGTGAACGTTTTCATTATTAATTGTGGGATTTTGTTATGAGCATTTAAGTAATTCTTTTATCTTGAAATATTATGAATTGTTTGGTGATCTCGACGCAAAACTTCGCCTAAGCAAGTTGATTACTTAGAATAAATTTAATCATCTATTTTATTAGTAATAAATTTGTATTGGGAAGTTTTAACAAATTCTTGTTTTAATTTTCGCACGCAATTCCTACTTTGATTCACATCATAAACACTTAAGCATTGAGGCGCCTTTTGGTGTAATGGTCAGAATATCATTAAGAAACTTTGCTGTATGCTGATCCCGGTGAAATCCTAGGATGGGTGATCTTCTGAGAAGTTACACCAACATGACAAAATTGTGAGGCTGTTAGGCCAAAGCGGACAATATCTCAAATATTAAGAGTTTGGGTTGTTACAAGTGGTATTAGAGCAATACACCAGTCGAAAGATGAGAACTAAGTGACATACAAGACAAAGTATTATGCCATGAGAGCCACCTATTGAATCCTATATGGGACAAAGTGATACATAGCAGGAGTCACCACTTGAACTTATAGGGGCCACCTTTAGAATCCTATCTACCTGGTAGATGATTCTGTTATAAAGATACTAACGAGGACTTCAGTTACTTAAGTGGGAGAGATTGTGAAACCCCTTAAGTAAAAAGAAGCTAAACTCTTAAACATTGAGACGTCTTTTGGTGTAATGGTTGAAATTTCATTAAGAAACTCCGTAGTTAAGCCTGTGCATCCAGAGAAATCTTGGGATGGGTGACCTCATGTGAAGTTATGCCAATAGGACAAAACTATGAGGCCCTTAGGCCAAAATGGACAATATCTCAATATTTAAGAATTTGAGCTGTTGCACTAGTTGTCTGTAGAAATGATAAAGACGATGAGTGAGCAAGCTTCAATCGAACGTACTATGTTCGTTTGACCTTGTATGCTTGAAAAAATGAAGAAGATGAAGAACTCGAACCTTCAATTGCTCATTCGGCATCCTTGTCTACCAGCGAAAATAAAGAAGACGACGAAGATGCAATCTCCAATTGATTATCAGGCACATTTGGCCTAGCCTGCTTGCAGAAAAATGGAAAATGACATAGAGCCCCTTGCCTGCTCGTGTAAATGAAGAAGACAGACGAATGTGAAGCAATATGGGATAACCCTAAAGCATATGTGGCTACTTAGGGAGATTCGCAATGAACCACTCTTTTTATTTATTTAAAAAATAATAAATATTGGAAAACATATGTTTTAAATATTTTGTCATTAAATATTATGACACACGTGTCCGCTTAAATTTAAATACTATTTTATCGGACACATTTCAACCGCGTTCAACATGTGTCTTAGTCATGCCAGACCTATGTTCAATACTGCATACCTTCATAAGAAGGTGTGTCGGTGCATCATAGTTGAGTTTGTTGGGAAGGATTTTGAGGGTACTTGGTAATAACTGAGCTGGTGTGGGTCTTATGGAGAAAATGAGGATTGTATGTTTAACACTCAGGGAAGAATTAGAGGAGAAAAATGGAGATATCACCATTAGAAAATGAGGTATGCTTAATACTCAGCAAAGAATTGGAGAGATGAATAGAGTGATTGGGAGGGGGAAACAGAGGATTTTAGGTTTAATGCTCAGGAAGGGGGAAATGGAGGGTTGTAGGTTTAATACTCAGGGAGAAATTAGAGAAGATTAGAATGTTCGGGAGGGGGAGGGGGAGGGGAGGGGGGTGGATCAAGATAAGATTCAGTAAATGTTCTTTAATTTGCCTGGGCAGAAAATGGTTTTTGGCTGGTTTATTAACATTTTGACCCTTGAATTTTGATAAATATGGTAAGAAGATGACTTACAGGCAGAACTTGCTAATCCATATAGTAGTTGGTGATTGTTAGAAATATTTCAACCTTTTCCAATTTAATTATGATTATAATCGAACAAAAAAATCAAATCAGTGATATCTTTAAGTGGCGGATTTTTCTTATGTCGGTGTTATGAATGGTTTCATTTAAGCGCATGTTGATTATGTATCTAATGGACAACTTGACATGCACATTTACTTCATCTTTTTTAAGGAAAACTTATTAACAACTATTTTGTATTCTCCAGATTTCCAAAATTCGGGAGGACTGTGATCAGAAGGAAAAAATTATGCTTGCTCGTCATAGAGAAGAGTTGCAACTGATTCAGCTTCATGCAGAGAATGAAATGAGGGAGGTACTGAGAAGCTAACAAGCAATTCACTGTTTACCCCCAACCCCCCGCCACAAACTTTTTATTTTTCCTTGCTGTGAAAATCTGAAAAAAAAAAAAAACAGAAAACATCATCCCTGAGGAAGGAACACGAAATTCAAATGAAATCTTTAAAGATGCAGTATGATGATGTACACAAAAAACTGGAAGAAGACTTGGAGATGCAAAAGTCTAAGGTATAGTTCTTTATGGTTGTGTTGGTCTAATTATTTGTTAATTGCCGTGAATATTCATGCGCTGTATTTGCAGGAGGAGAAACAGAGAAAATTACTACAATTGCAATGGAAAGTAATGAGTGAAAATCAACAGGACAATCAAGAAGTGGACTCTAAGAAGGTTTATAAGTTTTAATGCTAAAAAAACCTTTAATTGGATATAAAATTAGCTTTTTTTTAATTGGTATTGCTTTCTGAAGACTTTTGATGATGTTTTTGTTTTGCAGCTTTAATTAGATTGTACTTAAGTAGTTTATACTTTCCTAGAATGACAAATTTTGTTTTTTTCTTTTGTTATTTTAATCATATCTTTTCTCTCTCTTTGGAGATAATACTTCTCCGTTAAAGTAGTTGTATATTTTGGTAGTCTGATGAGCATGTAGTATTGTGAACTCGCATCATGTCCTGCATACGAACCATCCAAAAAAAAAAAAAAAAATGCTAGCGCGCCCTAAGGAGAAATATAATATTGATTTAAGTTGACAATAAAGTGTTAATCTGGCAAATTGGTGCAAGTGGAGCTTGGGTGTCCCTTACATTGCTTGAGTTGAAGATGTGTAAACGTCGATTTAAAACTTTTGAGGTTGGTGATTTTGTTATGGTGCGAATTCGTCCGGAACGGTTCCCTCCGGGAACAGTTAAGAAATTGCATGCAAAGAGTGCTGGGTTTGTCAAAATACTTAAGAGAATTAATGACAATGCTTATGTAGTAGATCTGCCTGCAGATTTCAATATAAATCCCTCTATTAACATAGAAGACTTAGTGGCATATGAAGGTCCTGATTTTAACCCACAAAAT